CAAACTGGTAACTATTTGAAGGGTGTGCATAAGACTGACATGACATAACACCTGCCATGAACATGTTTATGACTGTTGTCATTAAGTGTCATTCGGTAAATTATGACACCTTTAATGAAAAGCTGACATTGTTTAAAATGTCAAGTTATAAGAAAGACATTTTTATGTTGGTTAATGTCACGTTGTCATGACAAAGACATTTTAAACAATGTCAACTTTGCATTAAAGGTGTCATATTTTAACAAATGACACTAAATGACAACAGTCAAACATTCGTAAAAACTCGTTCATGTTCATGACGGTGTCATGTCAGTCTTATGCACACCCCTTCAAATGAAGTTACCAACCTTTGAAAAAGTAAACGTGAACTTTTTGAATCAATCCAATTCAAGATGGCTGCCACAGCTAATCAACATTAGCCAACACAAAATGTTTATAACTCAGTTAGCTTTCCTGATATTGACCTAAACTTTGATGTGGTAGTAGCTGAGAGCCACTCAGTCACTCAGAATATTCTCAATGTGACCAAAACAGCTTTAAATTAATAATTCCTCAATATAAAATGAACTAGATTACATTTCTGAATCTGCATATAATGTTAGGCCTTTAATTTTAAAACGTGCTCATTTGCTTTAATTAGCTTCTTTATGTTCATAGCATAATGCCGCATGCATATTATGATTCATTTCAAAATACTCATTGTTGTATTTTTGTTTGTTTTTCCATTTTTTTATTGTGTCAAACACTGAAACGTTGGCCTGACTTGTTTTTTCCCCCCATGATATTTAAAAAAGGTGATCCAGGACACAGAAAGCAGCTATTATAAAAAGGTTACCAGCAATTTATTTTTACCATAGTGGTCACACATGCACAACAAATCCATCTGTCAGATTATATGAATTCAATAGTCTCAGATCACCTGCTTTGACGCCATGTTTCCTTGGCGACAGATCAGTAAGGGGATCAAGAGGAGACGGTGAACAGGGCGTTGATGGGAGGAACGAAAACAGAGGCTTGAACTGCTCTCAGGTAAAAATGCACATTTAGGTTTTCGACAAATTTGTTCAGTTCACGATTTATTGGTCATATCCTGTTTCGAATGATGGACTTCATTTTGATTTATTTATTCTAAAGATTACACCTGCTAACAAACAGGCTGCAGAGACAGAGTCAGAGTTCTCTACGAATGGCCTCAGTTTTATTTACGCTGCATGTTATTGAAAAAGAATCGACGTCACGAGGAATATAACTGTATAAAAATGAGTTGTTACTTATGTTTGTCATAAAAAATGCTTACTGAGGGATACAATCTATTGCAGTGACCAAATACATTTGTTAATCTTCTTCCTATGTGTAAGTTTAAAAGAAGTCCTCTGAGGTGTGTCTAGTCTAATTTTTAGAAATTTGTTTGAATGTGAAATTACCAAAAGAGTTTATTAATTCATTTATTTCCAGCTGCTCTCTTCTTCAGGGGTCACCACAACGAACTAAGTTGCACGAAGACTTGGCAGTTATTTATACGCTGGATGCCCTTCCTGGGCAGCATGGTGGTGCAACTAGTAGAGCTGCTGCCTTTTAGCGAGAAGGTTGCCGGTTCAAAGCCACGTCCAGGGGCCTTTCTGGGTGGAGTTTGCATGTTCTCTCCGTGCATGTGTGGGTTTTCTCCGGGTGCTCCAGATTCCTCCCACAGACCAAAAACATGCATGTTAGGCTGATTGGTAACTCTAAATTGTCCCTTTTGTCACATCTTCTCCAACCTCTGCACCACCATTCCCTCTGAATGTGAAATTACCAAAAGATAAAAATGCATTATTAGCTGTTTGAAGTATTGTTTTATAGTCATTTTACAGGCAAACAAAATTGAAATACTATAAACTTTTGTTCCTCGGCGCGGCTCACCGCACGTTTAGCTCACGTTTGAAAGTGTCCTTCACGCCGTCTGAGTGCATTTACAGCTCTGTTTAGTCCTGCCCGCCTGTGACTGGATCAGCCAGGACACAAGATGATCCTCCAGTGTGAACAAGGTCTTTGATAACTAATGGACTGAACACCCTCTCACACCTGATGGCCGTCGGACCGATTGAAAACAACTGACTTTTGTTTCAACGCCAACTCAAAATTCACGTTCACATAGTAAGGTCCATACACAGTAACTGAATTTTCATGTTATATTTACTTGAATTTTTATATA